TGCTGCGCGCGCCCTACCTCCAGGCCGAGGAGGTTCCCATAACCGAGCTCGCCCAAGAGTTCGGCTTCTCGCACCCGCCCCCGCCACCCCCACCGCCGCCGCGGCCCAGCGAGCTGCTCGGCTGGGTCGACCGCCCCTCCTCCTCCACGGCCTCCTCCACCTTCCGCCCGGAGCGTTCCGAGCGCTACCGCCGCGCCATCTCCATGAATGGCCGCCAGCTGCGCTGCCTCCGTCCCAGGCGCTTCCGCTCAGACCTTCCTCCTCTCAGCTCCGAGGCCCCTAGCCCGGACAACGAGGCTGCACTGGAACCGCCGCAACAGCAGCCCGTGCAGGATGCCGTCGAGGAGAATAAGGTGGTTGACAATGGTGCCATGGTGGGTGCCGAGGATGAGCCGGCGGACCGTGGCAAGAGCACTGCCATGTTTGAGTGCAACATCTGCTTTGAGATGGCCGACGAGCCGGTGGTCACTTCTTGCGGCCATCTCTTCTGCTGGCCTTGTTTGTACCAGTGGCTGCATATTCATTCCACCCACAAGGAATGCCCTGTCTGCAAAGGTGAGGTCACTGAAGGAAACATCACTCCTATCTATGGGAGAGGGAATTCAACTTCCGATGTGGAGAAGAAAGTCGCAGACGATGGCAACGTGTCCAGTCCTAACATTCCCGCCAGGCCACATGGGAACCGGCTTGAGAGTTTTCGACAACAGTTCCATCATTTGCGCCCAATTTCTCGTAGGCTTGGCGAGGCACATGGGATATTATCTTCTTGGAGACGCATTCTTGATCAGCAGATTATGACTAGCGCGAGTAGGTTTGAAGGGCCTCCAGAATCATCTGTCCAGGAGATGATAGATCATGCTCATCAGACTGGCCGTTTAAGCCGAATTACTACTAGGATGAGAGCAAGGAGGTTGCAAAGGGAAGCAGAAAATCCTGCATTTGTTTCTTCATCTATTCCAGACGGCGGGATGCCAGGAAGCAGCACGCCGGATCCTCCTAGGCGTAGTTCAAGTCCACTTTCCTCGGAAGGAATTGATTTATTGCAACGCCTTACCCTTGTTGGCCTTGCAAATACGGAAAGGTTGGCAACTGCAGTGAGCGATCTTAGAAGAATATCCAGGCCAAGCCTCCGAGCATCAACTTCGTCAAATTTACCAAATCATGAGCCGCCAGTTGATGGAATTCATGCTGCTGCAGCACCGTCTGCAGATCAAACTTCTAATTCAAGCACAATGGCTGTGATTCAGGAGGATGCTGCTTTTACTGAAAGCGTAGGAGAACCTAGCAATGCAGGGTCCTCAAGAACCCTGAGGAGGAGGGGAAGAAGCGACGCCTTAGGTTCGTTGGATGTGGATGGTGGCGAAACACACCGGAACAAGAGAAGGCGGCTGAACTAAAGCTAAGAAGGCCGAACCGAGTATTGCAGAGGCTTCAATGTTGCTCCAGTTTTTACGGTTCGCTCTTCTCAATGAGCCCATTTTATCTCTTTGGGCACTATATGCTGAGTGTGATCAAAGTCTTCCTCTTCTGCTTGGTTAATAGGGTGCTGTTTAGTTGTTTGTTTGTTTAGTTCCTCCCATGTTTAATTTATGCTATTACTTTAGACATGCATACCAAGGAAACCTGAGAGATTGTCACCAGATGAATTTTCCTTGATCGTAAAGCAGATGTGTACTATATGGGATCAACTTTTAGTGTCATAAATAATGAACTGTCACTTGAGTCTCGGTTGTAGATGGCTGAAGTGAAAATGTAAAACTGAGGTGATATTTAGTCCATTGGAGTGAATGAACGCGAAGTACTAAACAATGTTGTCACTTTACTGGTTGAATGCCAAGTAAGGCTCTGTTGTCGGTTTACTGGATGAATGCCAAGTAACGAACTCTGTTGTCGTTCTACTCTTTTGCAGCTGCCCTGCTGTTGTTCTTGCTACTGGGCAAAGAGGTATGTTAAGTCGCAATAAAGAAGAAAAGCATTCCCTTTCCTTTTATGATAATCTCATCTTTGTTCTTGGTTGATGTTTCCGATGTGGATCGTGAAATACATTGGTTGACGTTTCCGATGTGTCAAGTCGCAATAAAGAAGGAAAGCATTTCCTTTTATGATAGATAATCACATATCATGACTCAAACACTACTATCTATGTTCAGGATCGTATATTGGGGGATGTGGTAATGGATTTACGATCGATGTTTGTGTGATTCATTGCCCTTTTTTGAGCTGGTTACGCTCTGTCGACCCGTCTTGGTTGTCCTCCAAATTTAGCGACCAGTTTTAACTATACAGGAAAGTAGGCTTAGGCATGCTCTCATTTGATACCATTTGCATTCCCATAGTCGTTCATCTGTTGTGCAATGCCATTTCTGTTTTGGAGCAAGGGTGGACACTAGCACTGGAATGATAACATTACCTGTGACTTGCTACTTATTGTTGTGCTTGTGATTCAGGGCTGGTGCCCTCATGATGGAGTTGGGCATTCTGTCCCGTTCAGCAGTCACAGTTATCATATCCACAGGTGACCTAAAACATCCACCACTAGGTTAGTTTAGTACTTCCTCCGTTCACTTTTATAAGTCGTTTTAGACAAGTGAAATTGAGCTGTTTTGCATGGTGTCTGAAACATCTACAAAGCCTTATAAAAATGAACAGGGAGTAGAACTGATTCCATCACTTGTCAAGACCCCACAATATATGACCCCGTGCTTGTTGACATTATGGCAGTGCAGTCTACAGATGTCTGCTGTCGCAGCCGGCTGCTCTCCGTATCTAGCAGCATTGCAGCTGCACTGTTACACACCCCTCGTTTGAGTGACAGCGCTGCTATACACACGACGAATGCGCGGCCGATGCCCGCACGATTCGTACGTGAGTGAGATCGTATGTATGCATGATCCTTCCTTATCTTGCTCCTGTCCTTTCACATGCGGGGTGACATGACACGGCCACCAACCGTCCCACCTGCCGGCCAGGCAGATCGTCCCCGGCCCTGCCGCCCCGTCGCAGGCTTTTCTGCTGCGCCCGCTTGGAATCCGGATCTTGCCTCGCCAGTGGATCGCCGTGGACGGCACCGGCGAGGGCACGCGGGCGGGCACAGGCAGCGTCAACATACTCACTGCTGAGGCTGCAGTGCCGTCTGATTTGCCCACGTTGAATAGCAGCGTCGTCAGAGGCAATGCGGCCTGCGGCGTGCCCTGTGTTGTGCATCCTTGGTTCCTCCGTTGAATCTTACGTACTGCTCGAGAGAGTGGCTTCTGTTTTCTGTGTAGTCCAACAATTGTTGCACACCTCCATAAGGCACTGCCAGCATGAAGAATACGATGGACGGAATATGATTTTGTCGATCACATTCCCTGACGAGGTCCAAATCCCAATCCCAGTGGCGTTTCGGTTGGGACGTCCATCAGCGCGCAGCCTTCACCATTCCTGCACGCAGCCTTCACCATTCCTGCACGCAGCCTTCACAAATTCCGCCGGGCCGCGGCCAGAACAAAATATCTGGCAATCACCATCAGCAAAGGAAAAACAGAGGGAGCAAAAGATCTGGCCGCTACTCCGGGCCTGGCCTCCCCCTTGGCACGGGAGGACGCGAGCGGAATCTCGCCTCCGGAGCACACCAGACCGAGAGAGCAAGCGATGGAAGCGGCACGGACGAAACCGAGTCAGATCTCCGATCTGGCACGCCGACGACGCATCCAGGGGCACCGCCTGCGCGCGCGCTCCATGCCTCCATCCGTGGGGACGTGTATTCCCGGCACGCACGTTGTAATCTCTTTGCTGCGCCCACATGTCACCACAGCGCACCTGCTCCGCTCTCACGTCCGGGTGGGGGTGGGTGGGTGGAGCCGCCGCCCTCACCCACGCGCCGCGCGGCTCTCCTCTCCTCTCCTCCTCCTGATCCGAGCAGCACGAACCGTCTGCGGCGGGCGGGCGGTGGGCTCGCCGAAGCATGAATGCACGACGGTCAGCGTCCTGCCCCAGCTGGACGGCCAAGATTGTGTTGGCCGCCACGTATGGGTGATGAGTGTACGCACAATTGACCAGCTACCGTACGTCTCGACCCTGACGTACAACGCACGGATGAATAACCGTGCACGCAGCGAGTCATGGCCAGGGATCTGCCTAACTCGCAAAAACGGAATGCTAAACGTGAATTAGAAGGTCAAGGCAATGTCAAATTCCTCTTGGAGTATAGAATTGGCTGAGCCGTGGGGCCCACATGGAAACCCAATCTTGGGCTCAAAGCGGATAAATCTAATTTTTCGTCCGGCAAAAGAGATCACTTTGGCTAAGCCCTACGTATTACTAGATGGACTGCTGTGGAAAGATTTGGATTGAATTTCGTTTTTAAATTAAATTTAGATAGAATAAAAAGGAAAAAATGAAACAAAAAAGAAAAATAAAAATAAGAGAAGAGAAAAAGCTTACCTAGTCTACCTACAACCCGACGCACGACACTCTAGCCTACTAAAGCAGTAAGAGCATCTCCAGCCGTTGAGCCCCTCAGGAGACACTTTTTTCGTCCCTTGGGGGGCTGCCGGCAATTTTTTTTGCCTGGGGTTGAGAAAATATCCACTCGTTGAGCCTCCCAGCATGCAAGCCCGACGACGCGGCGGCCAGCGCGTGACTACGCAGGCACCGCGGCCAACGCACGCAAGCACGCGGCAGCGGTGGCTAGCCCGGCCAGCACGCGACGGTTGCGGCCAGCGGGCAAGCTTGTGCACGCCTGTGCGGCTGCGGAGCCCGGCCAACACGCCCGCGAGGTCGCAGCTAGCACACCGCGGGCAACGCACGCATGCACGCGGCGGACAGCCCGGCCAGCACGCGGGGAGCAGGCCGCGTCCACTGCGTGCCCGCCTGCCCGCAGCGCCCACCTCCGAGCACCGCCCGTCATCCGTGGCCACCGCGGCCACGCCGGACTCTTCGCGCCGGGGCCCAGGAGCAGCAGCAGGACGCCGGCCAGGGCGAGCAGCGCCACCGCGATGCCCAGCGGGGAGCTCACGTCCGGTGACACGCCGACGCCATCGAGCAGCGGGCCCTGCAGCCGCCATGTCCGCCACGTCGTCCTCGTCCTCGGCCATGCCATGGGGCTGGAACTCGACCCTGACCCAGCTGCTGCCTATACGTCCGGCGAGGGCGCCGTGGAGTGCGCGGGCAGAGACGGCCCACTCCGGCCGCGCGCGCGAGCCCCGCCCCGGCCATGCTCCGCTCCGGCCCCGCGATGAGAAAGGAGAGAGAGGAGAAAGAAAAGAGAGTAAGGAGAGGAGAGAGGGGAGAGTGAGGGGCTGGCAAGTGGGCCGATGCATGCGAAAAAGAGCGTCGGCGCCCCCAGCTGCACCCCAGCTTTCTGGGTTTGAGTTGAGACCGTCGGGCGTATTTTCAGCAAAATCCGGCGCTTTTTGAGCTTTTGAGGGCATGACCGCGGGAAAACGCGCGCCGGCGATGAAAAAGGCCTGGGAAGGTTTGGGGGCCTAGTGGAGATGCTCTAACCTATAAAGGCATGTACAATGATTGATGAGATAGTTTTATCTTAAGTCATGCATGTAATTTAGAGATGATAAAAAACATGTCTATAATGGATCATCTTTTAACCTTATATTCAATAAGGGCATGTACAATGGTGCTATCTTAGAAGTGCCATGTAGAATAAATGATGAGGTGAAGAAGAGAGAACTCATAAAAAAAGGTTTGTCTCTCTTAAGACAAAAGATAATCTCTTAGCACAATATGTCTCATCATATTTTTAGAAATAGCTAGTTATTAAAGATAAGGCTAAGAGATGACCTATTATAGACAATTAGGGGCTGTTTGACCTATTATGTCACGCGTTTTTGCCAAACTTGACTAAGGTTAGTTCATCAAAATGAGAGCCACAAGTTGGCAAGCCTAAGGAAATCTTGCCACACTTTTTGTGTGTATGCTATGTGGGGTTCAAGTGTGGCTTTCCTAAAATGTGACTTGAACCAAACACTCACCTAAGTTGATCAAATTTGCCTAACCTTAGATGTGGCAATCTTTGGCAAAGTTAGTCACAAATCAAACAGCCCTTTAGTCTTCAGAGCTCTAGAGCAACAAATTATGTAGTTTTCTAGCAGCAAATAGTTCGCTGCCCTCGTTTCCCAGTTCGGCAGGTTCACCTAAACCAGGGTAAACATCGGGCCGGGCGGAGCTTGTAAAAGCCCGACCTTCATTTCTCAAGCCTGACCCAGCCCAAAGTCCGAAATACTCACTGTTTTCAAGCCTGAGCTCAACCCAAAGCCCAAAAGCCCAGCCAAAAATACAAAAAAAGAGAAGCCCAAGCCTGGCCCAAACTATCTTCCAGGCTGCAAAACAAGGCCCAAGCCTGGCCTGAATGTCAGGCCCAGCCCCGCCCAGGTTTTTCAGGCCGGGTGTCCATGCCAGGGTACCCTTAGATGTATTTTCTGCGTTTGAAACGGGCAGTATTTGATCGAAGCAGCACACACAAACGCTTGCCAAATAGGCTCGCAAATCACAAGATAAGTGGGTGATACAGAGTCACAGTAGCGCCAATATTTCTCGTCCGCCTAAATTATTGTTCTATCCACCATCGCAGCATCGGTATTTCAGTTACACAGGCATGTCCACGACAATCACTAGTGTTAAAAGGGAAGCGAACTGAACCCTTCCGGAAGATGTGCAAAAACGCCGAACAGCACGTGAGATATTCCAGGCTCCTCGGTGCCCAAAACAAGGCTGAAAACACAAATGCGCTTGTCCAGCAGGTACTCGTCGAGAAAGAAAAGAGCAGAAGGGGGCCGACGAGGCAAAACACTTGGCGGCAGGTCTCTACTAGGGCGAGGAGAAGCTGAACTGGATTCCCGTCTTCCCGCTGTCGTGCTGAGACTGCTTCAGAATGTAGCAGTAGTTCACCTGAACAGATGCAGTAAAACAAGTTTGTTAGTCAGGAGGCAGGCACAACACATGATCTGTAATCTGGTACAAAGGAAATTGAAACATACCTCGACCCGGAACAGTTTAGTTGGCAAAATAATGCCGACCCCAGCAGTGCTCCTAAACGAACGACGGAATTCATCAAGCGAGAAGTTCTTGTACTGGCCCTCCGACAGTTTCGCAAGATTCCCAGCAGTGAGAAACGCATGACCATGTATTCCAGCGTCTCTAAGCACCTTCAGAGGCAGATCAAAGGAGAGGTCAGCAAAGGCGGAAACAGCAAGATCGCCACCCAAGTAATCCCTCCCTGGAACAGCAGGAGAACCATCTTCCGACTCGCCGGGGACAAGCCTCCGTGGTTCTGTCGGGCCAACCCCTCTTGTTCTGAAACCGAGCAAGGATGATATTCCACCCAGGCTGCAAACTGGAGAATTGTGACCTCCCAGGTTAAATCTATCAGTCACAGGTGTAGACGAATTCATAAATCCTCTTGCCAGCGGTAAAACAACACCCGCTCCTACACCAACATTGAGAGCAGCGTTCCAGAATCCAAAAGGCACGGCAGCACGAACATCAAATTCCTGAAGCAAAGTCAAAAGCACCATATTGTAAGATAATAATAATGAGAATGGATGTGACAAGTATACTTCTCCATTATTGTGAGGAACCATAAAAAGGAAAAGAGAAATAATAAATACTCCCTCCGTTCCCAAATATTTGTCTTTCTAGAGATTTCAACAAGTGACTACATACGAAACAAAATGAACGAATCTACACTCTAAAATATGTCTACATACATCCATATGTTGTGTCCATTTGAAATGCCTAGAAAGACAAGTATTTGGGAACGGAGGGAGTAGATTGGTGCTAAACAAATCGTGAAAAGGGGGACAGAAAAAGCTGAAAACAGACCTGGCGAAAAATTTTCAATCCTTTGTTATCCCAAAGACCACCAACTTGAGAGGATGAGAGAAATGCATATCCTTTTGTTGGCCTGATATGTGAATCCCTTTCATCAATCTTGTATGTGTATTTCAATGCAGATAGAAGGTTATGCCCTAACTGCCTTCTTATGGACGTTGACGCGAGGCGTGACGGATCAGTCAAGGTACGCCATGTAAGGTTGTAAGATAAATCGTGGTGCCTGGTTGAAAGCAAACCCAATGAAAGACCAAGTATACGCTCCTTGTATGATGAGAACTTCATCCAATCTTGTGATAACAATGAAGCCCGAGCCATCAAGGGTGTTGGTATTGATTTAAATCTTGGCAGCGAGACTCCTACGCCAACCTCTGTTGTTTGGTCGAAACCATATGCAACTGAAGCATCCCAGATGTCTGCATAGCCAGCCAAGTTCTTCCACTTAACAGCCCCTTCCACTGACCATGCTTTTGCCTACAAAAGCAACACACTCACGCATCAGATGTGATAACCTATGATATAGTAGTGGAGATTGCCATGCAATAAAAACAACAGTGTTTTTTTCCTACCCTTATGATGCCGGCAATATAGGTTCGGTAACATCATGACCTATGAAGTTATATTTATACTAAAGTATTTGTATTCAGTATAGGGTAAAGGTAATGTACCAAAGTACTTCCCTTTGTAAAGAAATATAAGAGTGTTTAGATCACTACTTTAGTGATCTATAAACGCTCTTATACTTCTTTACGGAGAGACTACTTCTCAACAGAACAATTATTTTAACAAAACACATGACAATGCGTTCACTTATGTTTAACAAAACACATACACCCAAACTATGTTTTGATTAGAGCACAATGAAACCTACACCGAACCTTAGTAAATGCAGCTTTTTGTTCCGTACTGAAAAAGTAACTGTTAAAACGTTGAAACATTAGTATTATTTTTTGAGCTAGTTGAAACTTGAAAACATCGGTAGAATGTGCTGAAGATCAAACAAACAAGGCAATCTATAGTTGTGAAAGTTGCATGTTGAACACCGATAACTGAACTCATAGCTTGACTCGCAAAGTTGCCCTCTTAATCAGACAAATAAATATCTTTTTTTTTGTTTATGTATCACACTATTAGGACCAGATAGTGTCATGGATTAAGTCTTAAACTATAAAATTAGTTATCAGTTGCCAGGTCAATTTTCTTATGGGCAGCCAAACATACTCACTGTATATCAGTTGATCAAGATTGACTCGCATTCATAGATTGAAGAATTTGATGGATAACATCAACATACAAGCTACCAGCTGGGAGGAACAAAATGTAACTGATAACATGAATGACTAAATCAGTTTTTCATAAACATGTTCAGTATACTAATTAGGATGATTTTAAGGTCAAATATAAATATGAACATGTACAATTGTACATTCTCTCTCAGGCTTTGCTTGGAGAATAAAAAAGTAGGTGAGCTCACGAGCACCCAAGACCTACACCATATCCCCATTGTCTATTCCTGCTGTTACCTAGGTTGTGGAGGGCCACAAAATTCAGTCCAAGAAAGAGTGATGTGTAATATAGTACTATAGTATGTAGGATGTAGAAAGCTTAATTTTTGTCAGTAAACATTATTGTGCGTCCATCAGGGGTCCATTTATTTACCCAAACATTAAAGTATATTATTATTCTCAAGCTTGAGATTTTCCATGTTATAATATAGATAATTTACTAGCTGATATAAAAAATTGCATACCTTTTGCTTCTTCAAGTTTTCATTGTCCAACAATCGAATAGTACAGTTTAGCTCTAATGAGTTGAGATCGATTATCAGCTAAGATGATGTCCAAGGACAATCTAAGTGTTCCAGATTTTCCTTCTTACTTAAAGAACTCTATGTGTTCCATTGCTTCACTTATGCAAACCTAAAGTCTACCATGTATTTACAAGAAAATTTTACTTACAGATAGTATTGATTAAAACCGAAGCATCCTAAGTTAATTTGGAGATTACAGTAAGTCTAGAAGCCTCGTGTTACTATCTGGTCTACTTAAGGTGGCTACATACTGATTGTAAAGTTAATACAGTAGGTGCTGCTTGTGCTTAGCAATTTACTTGCTACTGTTTTAATTACAGGCTTACAGTTGCAGGGATACAATCTCCACTACTGATGGGCGTCCAACTAGCAGGAACTCATGATGATTAGTCATAATACCAATCTAATCATAAGAAAACATTAGGAAAGATGACCAACTATTCTAACAATGGGTTAACTATGAATCTAGATCTCAATCCAAGCCCAATGGTACAAACAAGTGTTGCTCCAGGTCTCTAGCTACAAACAATGTGATCATCCAGCGGAGTCACCAACAAATCGAACCAAGTGGGGAGCGCACCTCGGGCTTGGAGTACACGCCGGCGTTGCCGCTGAGGGGGATGGCGGGCTCGACGACCTCGATGACGACGTTGGTGGTGCCGGGCAGCTCGGGCGGGCCGGAATCGAGCGTGATGTTGACGGCCTCGAACACGTCGAGCCCGCGGAGCCGCGCGCTGGCGTCGGCGGCGGCGCTCAGCAGGTCCTGCACGGTGGTGGCGGAGCGGAGGAGGTCGGCGACCTCCGCCTCGATGAGCTCGTCCCGCGTCTTGGCGTTGCCCCTGATGATGACGTCGTGGACGCGGATCCCCACGGGATCCGTGGAGAGCCGCCGGAACACGGACTGCACCTTCTCCCGCTGGAGGGCCGCGGCCGCCGGCTCGTCCAGCTCCTCCTCGTCCTCGTACTCGTACTCCTCCTCGGCGAATTCTCCATCGGCGCCAGCCCAGGGCTCGGGGACGCGGCTCCCGGCGTCCTTAGGGTTTTGGTCGGCGGCGTCGGCCATGGCTGGGGTTTGGGGGGAGGAGGAGAGAGCCTTCCGAGCTTTCTCTTGTTTTTTCAGATGCGGCCTTTCGTGCTTACCAAGCTCACGACAACCAGCATGGGCTGTCTGGGCCGGAATCCCAATATATACAGTCTTGTATTCTCTGTTATTTCCTTTTCTTGGAGAGTTTCTTTTCCTTCTTCTTACTCTGCAAGTCTTCACCGTGTGTGCTTTCCTTTTATTTCCTCGTTCCACCTTTTTATTATTTTCCCTCTGTTCTTATTTCTTGGTGTATAATTTACGTACATTTGGCATTTTATCTTGCATATGGATTTAGTATATAATTCATTTACCTTTTTTTGCATTTGTTTTTAGCTTTTTTTGTTGGTGGCTTGTTTTTAGCCTTTTTTGTGTGCTCTAGCTATAATCATTAAATATTTATCACTTAAAAAATAATGAACTACCCACTGCAAAATATATAATAAAAAATGCATATTTTCTTCTAAGACAGACCTCGCAAAAGGAAGTGCCATGCTTAATTTGGTATTGCTGCATAACATATATTTGTATCTTTGCTTCATTCAAGTTCTTTAAAAGGAAGTGTCCTGCTGAATTAGGAATAGTCACACGGAGCCTACGTCAAAGGAAGGTCACTTATCAGTATCAAAAAATTCTGATGTTGAAAAAATTTCTAAGGTTTCGTACATGACCGTTTTTCCTCTTTTGTTGTATTTATTCAGTAATGTATATGCTTATGGATGTGTTCTTTACACCAGTTATCGCCTGATTGGTGGGTGAAACTAATTGTTGCAGATTGAAGTATCTCCTGTATTTGGAATGTGAGCCATCCTGATCACGCTTGCAGCGACTTGTGCACCCATCCATCCAGGGTAGGTTGCGTTATAGCCGGGACTACCTACCGCATAACAGGAGCCACGACTGACAACATGGTCACACGCGAATGCTCTGGAGACGCTATGAAGACATATGTAGAGTCCTGCAACGTGCATCGTGTATTCCCTTGTGACAGGCCCCGAGGCGGTGAAGGTCATTGTCAATTTGAACTGTTGGTCGAAATGATGACAATGTGAATGATGACAACGCCAAAAACAATTACAAAATATTTGTAATTTGATGATTCAGTTAAATACTAATAGTGTTATCATGTTACTGTCATCTTTACATTGGTAGGAAACTTCAATTCGAATGCCTTTCTCTGACATCTTGCATTCAAATCTTGTACTGCACACCGGCCTGTCGTGTAGAAATGTGGTTTAAATGCATTATATATTGTATCAACTTTTGTAAGTTCAGATCCACAGATTCTAGGAGTTACAATATACTGATGCTTGTTTGACATGTATCATTAATATAATGTTGCTTTAACTTATCTATGGTATGTATTAGTAGATACGTGTGTTGAACGTGTATGATTACTAGTCTAATCAAGAAGCGGTAAGGTTAGTGATAGAAAGTAACTGCAAAGTTGATTGAAAGACAACCTACTTTTAGCAAAGTAACACTAGCTTTAAATTGATAAAGTAAGGTTTACTTCTTCAAGTCTTAATATTGTCCATTGCGCTCTCATTCTAACTCAAGGCGAAGAGCTAAACTTAGTGGCCCCAAAATTTGTTTTTGTTTCCTCTGATTCAGGAAACAGGAAACCATAGCCGAAAAAAATGTCAACTAAAAGTTGAGTCAATATGTTGGGCTAGAACTAGATTTTAGTATTCTGCTACTTATTTTTGCATAGTAGTACTACTTGTCTAGTTCATGTAATAAAGATCAAGGTGCAAGCCACATACACATCAACCTGACAAAGCTAAAAAAAGCAACAATACCCTATTCTTTGCATAAAGGACCAATAGCCAAGAAGAAAAATTACAATCAAAACCAAAGAATCTCATGAGTTTAACGCCAACTGTCAGCTGCCCCCGGCACCACGGCTGCAGCTACCAAAGAAAAATGTAACGGATCACGTATTTCCGCTAGTAGTCACCTTTATTAGTTCTACTTATTATTTTGTATTGATACACAAAAATAATGATTTATTCCATTTTTTACATACATATTTCCATGTTTGGAGATTAAAATCCTCCTATGCTGGCCAGGAAATTAGTGCAGATTAAAACTAGATCACAGGTTTTATATAGAAAGAAAAACTAACTTTTTTTCTTTCTATATTAAAACTTCTAGTTACGTTAATTTTCAGCGAGACCTTTGCTCACACACAAGGAGAATTGGATGCAAAATATGTTTGAACCGTATTTATTATTATTTTTAGACGAGCATCAACATTGCTGAGATGTAGGTCCAGCACATCAAAGATGGTCGATCTTGTACTCATTATCGTCGCGGTTTTGTCCGTATATAATACTCTCTCCGTCTCATAATATAAGAGCGTTTTTGACACGGAGGTACCAACTGTCTACAGCTCCTAAAGAATTGGCACAGCTGATTTTTATTTTTCGACTTAAAAGGGGCTTCCCTCAGTTTCACAAAATTCAAATTCCCATGGGCCGAAGGCCACCACTCCCATGCAAAAACCTCGACATCATTACAGGTTCCATAGACCAGTACATCCATACAAAACGTTTTCTATCCACTATCCCTGCGGCATCCTCATAAGATGTCGTCAGCCAGCAATTCTCAAAAGGGA